TAGCTGAAATATGCCCAAACTGGACTGCAAAAGGCAATGTATGGACAAGGTGGAAATAAATATAGTTTGCAAGGATAGAAAGGTACAGAAGCAATTAGTAAATGGAGTTGATGTAAACTATAGTTATATTTCTTTATCTCACGACTTTAATTTACTTAGCATGAAAAAAGTACCATGATGGGTATTTGTGTGTGTGTGTACAGAATATGTCAACTCTCTTCCTCAAGTGTATTCTTGAGTCCTTGAGAACTAGTAGAGAGTGAGAATGCTAATGGCACTGAAGAATGCTGACCCCACTGCACAGACAATTACATTTATCCCCCACTGTTCACTAAGGTAATCAGAAAAATATGCCCTGCTGTGCTTTCCAAAACACTGCTTTGTTCACTGTACTCCGTAGCATTTTGCTTGTGCTTTTTTAAAAGATACATGCAGTCGGTGGAAGTGATTAGCAACTTTATATGATGTTGTAAAAGACATGTATCTTTTATAATACCATACAAAAAGCAAAATCCAGATATTGCTGCATAGACAGCAAACTTAACGCAACCTTATAGCAGAAGAGCAATTTTTTTCTAAACTCCTTCCAGTATGCAGCATTTCCAAATGTACCCTGAAAATGGAGGTATGTACAGATTCAGATAAGATAGTCTTCCCAATTTATCTTCCAATAACATTGCAGTAGACCTAGCAGAAGCAAGACACTGTTTAGGAAATCGTTCAGGTTTTTCCATTTCTTTTCCTTTAGCTAAGCAATTTGAAGGCAATAATTTCCAAGTTCACCTGGACTGACTGATTTTCATCCTGGGCTTTTTAAATTTGCATCTGAGAGCACCAAACAGCTTGAACAGTCAGTGTTGGCTTGGCTGCATCCTCTCTATTGCTTTTTTCATAGAATGCCATCTGGTTATGCCAAGTGCCAAGGGCCCAATGCATTTTACTCCTTCTCTCCACACAGGCTTTTTAGGCAGTGACAGAGAATAAACAGAAGGAGTTAGTTATCAAAACAAAAACTGGCACTATAATTTACATAAACCTTCGGCTGGCTGGCTTTCTCTTCCCACGAAATTTTTTGATGATAAAAATAACCAGTCACAAAATAGTGATGCGAATCATGTACTTTCATTGACGGAGCATTTCCTTAAACTGCAATGAATCTTAAATATGAAAAAATTCACCAATGCATTCTAAAGGATATCATGGGCATACTTTTAGGAAAATAAAAAATTATTATTATTAAAGTCAATACAGGTGATCCTCAAGGCTGTTTGAAGGTTATCAACATTTTGCAATACATTTTGGGGAGGAAATCCCTGAGGTTGGAGTTGGTACATTCTCTGCCTGCCTTGCTCTGACTGAGGAAGCTGCCTGGATGGGCAGAGAAACATCTCGCAAACTAATAACAACAAAAAATAATCCAATTGCAATGATTCAACTTCAGACAAAACCTTCAGAGAACTCTACCTGGATGATTGAGAATTTTCATCGATAGGTGATCTTCAATATACAACCACAATTGGATCCTGGACTTTTGTCACTAAGCAAAGCAATTGTTAAGTGAGTTGTGCCAAATTTTACATTGTCCTTTTTTGCTGCAGTCATTAAGGAAATCATTGTGAATCATCACTGACTTTGCTTGTCAGAAGCTTGCTGAGAAAATTGCAAATGGCAGTCATATGACCTGTGGATCCTGCAACCATCTGATGGTTGCCAAACATCTGGATTTTGATCGCGTGGCCATGGGGACACTGTGATGGTTGAATGAGGATCGCCTGTAAGTCACTTTTCTCAGCGCTGTTGTAACTTTGAACAGAACTAAACAGTACTAAACGAATTGCGGACTACATCCGGTTTGTAACCATCTTAAAAGGGCAACAAAGGCCAGTACAAGTAGTCCTCGATTTATGACCACACTTGCGCCCAAAATTTGTTGCTAAGCGAGACAGTTATTAAATAAATTTTGCTCCATTTTATTACCTTGCTTGCCAAACTTGTTAAGTGAATCACAGTTGTTAAGTTAGTAACATGGTTGTTAACTGAATCTGGCTTTCCCATTGACTTTGCTTGTCAGAAAGTCACAAAATGTGATCACATGATCCTGGGACACTGCAACCATCATAAATCTCTCAGGACCATTTCCCATTTTAAAAAATTATGGAGGACCCCAGGAGAGCTTTTGCTTATATGGCTATGTTTATCAATATTTACTATATTAAAAATTAAAATTGATGCATTCACTGCCACTACTACTCATAATTATTTGATGGGATTTTAATATTGTATTATTTTTCAACATAGGCTGGCAAATTTTTATTTTGTGGACCTCTCAGAAGGTTTTGGGGGACTCACAGGGGTCCTTGGACCACACCTTGATAAACACTCACATGAGCAAATGTAACTCAATGTCGTTGAGATGTCAGCTGGCGACCCCCGGGGGGGAGCTTTCTCTGTGGGTTTACCCACCCTTTGGAACCAACTTCCTTTGGAGCTCCGGATGGCTCCTGACCTTCGCTCGTTCCCCCGTGATTTGAAGACCTGGTTGTTTTGTAGCCTGGACTGATGGGAGGGGGGGGGGTTCCTTAGTAGTTTTAAATTGATTTTAAACTGTTTTAATTTGGACTTTTAATTTCATATTGTTTTAATGTGCAATTGTGCATTTTATTGTTGTGAGCCGCCCTGAGTCTATTGGATATAGGGCGGCATATAAATTGCATTAAACTTAAACTTAAACTCAATTGGCGTCTACTAAATGCCAATAGTTAACCGATGTGCTTTCTGTAAACTAAAATGGTAATGAAGGCCTTCATAATCCAATGATTTACAAAAATGATGTATTTTAATCACAGAAAAAAATATCTTAGCAGCACGATTTTCCAAAGCTGTAATCTGCCCCTCAACAGACTGTCCAAGCTTTATATAATAGCTCTAGTAGCTGTGGCATAATAAATAATTCAGTCTAATGCTGTGCTCAGTTCAAAGTTGCACGTCCTGTTCCACAAAGATAGTGTGTTTCTCAGAAAACACTATTAATTATATTTTTTTATTTAAAAGAATAAAAGGTATATATCTCTTGATTACATTCAGATATAAGGATATAGGATCCAGGAATGTGATACTGACCTAAATAGGTATGTAAATGTACAGTGGATTGAGCATGATATAACAGTTTGTATAAGAATTGTGCAGTTTAATCGCATACTATTATATAATTTATATAATAAGTTGAGTTTTGGAACGTAAATTATAATTATGCATGGGTGCCACATGTTTTTTACAAGTGCTCAATGTCTATAATAAGTACATACTGATATATAACATATCAAATAAACCCAAAATATTCAAAGCTCGCCTTTTAGGTTAATTTTTTAATGTCTGCTCAGCCATTTGCGTATATTCAGTAAATCTAGACATTATAACCAGCTACAGTTTTTCCTACTTTTCTCTGTTGTTTAACAGTTTTTCTTGCCATAGAAAATCTATTTAAGAGGAGAAAAATAGAATACCAGGACAATATCTATACTTGACTTATATGGTTATAGATTAGGCTATAGTTTCCATTGACTGCATTGGCAAATGACAGACTGACGGTAATAAATACTTAGCAATTTGTTACAAACAGACAATCTGCCATCTAATCTGTTTCTGATCATAATCCAATCAGACAAATTCATTTATTTAGATTCATATCCAAGGTAGGCATTTGTTCCATTGATTTTACACGCCTGTCAGTTGGACTATTTCCCCAGAGCACAAAACAGAAACAAGTGATAATATATGCAACAGAAGGTTAGAGGATTTCAGCCAGCAGGATTAGAATAAAATCTATAGAAATTCATTCAGGGAAAAAAATGACACAGAGGTCTCCAGGAAAAGCTCTGTAATGCCTTGTATAAATTACCGGTACATTGAAACTATTTGCATCAGTGCTTGAAAATGATAATATCCACCAATTGTATTAAACTATGATTTATAAAAGGGGGAATAAAAGCATGTCTTATGAACTATTGATTGCCTGAGTTTTCCAAATGTAGAAAAAAGATAATCAAAGGATTATGCAACTCTGGGTTTGCAAGGAATAAATAGCTCTGCAGCCTGACCCATTCAAGATGTAGGCCTTTCTACCATAATATGGCAAGTGCATCAAACAATTCTTTGTAATGTAGACTTTTCATAAGGCACTGAACATCTTCAGAAAAATCTACAATGCGCTGGACCAAGCAGCATGGAAGTGCAAAGGCTTACTAAGGCTTTAAATGGTGGACACAGAATTGCAACTTGCAATTGCAAGCTCCTTACCCTACTATCTCTTACATTCCCTTACTATCCCTTACCATACTTATCATACTATCCCTTACATTCTACCTGAAGACACACAGGATCGCCTTCCCTATTTTCCACATCCCAGAACATCCAGAATGCCTGTCGGCCAGTCCTGTTGTTGTTGGTCTTATTTTCTGCACGGGGCATGATTTACTGATGTTTATTCTGCTTTTTCTCTACCGCCAAATACCTACCCGAGGCAAAACAACTTGCTTCTAAGTTCTGTCACATTTGCCATGTGATCCCTCTGCCGCATACACAGAATTGCACGCGGGAGGTTTGGAGCGCCGTGCTTTTTCTCCACTTGCACCCTCTCGCCTCGCTTTACGTCTTGTTTTTACCCACAAAAACACCCAGGAAGAGGCAGAGAAAGCTCTTCGAGCCGCCAGTCAGAGAGATCCCAGAGGCGGGGTGGGGTGGGGTGGGGTGGAAGGAGAGGACAAGGACACTTATTATGCAAGAAATGTCACTGCGTGGCCCGCAATAATTTGGAATGCGCCCTCCGTTTCTCCATTCACCATTTCAGAGGATGGTAGAAGGGCGGAGATCCATTCATAAATAGATCGGCTTTGTCACGGGCATTCTGGGGCTGGCTGGAGGATCGCGCCTGCAGTCGATCGGGTTGAGATAGTGAATCTTCTCTCCCCCCCACCCTCCACTTACCCAGCAATCGTCAGCCTGCCTGGGAAAGAGGTTGGCACGGCTGTGGCGAAAGAGGGCGGGCCAATAGGCCGAGAGAGGGGCGGGTGGGAGCAGACCTATTTTCCAGCCGCTGTGAAGCAAGGAGAGAGACCGAGCAGGGCACGGCCGTGTGTCCTAGGTGCCCGAGCGGGAAAGAAAACAGGAATCAGCGGCCCAGACGTGACAAGGAGCAGCCGACATGCCTGCCACGGGAGGGGAGTAAGTCATCTGGCGCGGGAGTCGGCGCCTTCGCCTTTTCCACCCTCCCTTTGCTTCTTAACGCGTGGAAGGGGAAGGGGCGTTCGGGGACCCGGCGCCGATAGTTTGTAGTAGGGATCACTTTCCAAACCCATCTCCTCTGCGTCGCTTTAGCTTTGGAAACAGTTACCGGGGGTGGCAGGGGGGGGGGGGAAGTCGAGAAGAGATTAGGGAAAGCTCGATTTGGGCCTGACCTGACTTAACTCGATTCAGCCCAGAAAAGTTTTGACAGGATCCTGGAAACTTTCCCCAAGTTGAGGGTTAGCAGCTTTGCTCAGCTTGGCTGGGCTATAGGGCAGCTTCTATAGGCTTGAGCGAATGCAATACAAGCTGTCTTGACCCCTTGATTCTCAGGATGAGTAGGAGGTTTTTCTAAGCAGGTTGTGTTGGGCCTTCTCTTCTGTCGCGCTTCCTCCCTTAGTTGTTTGGGGAAACCCAAGCAGGGGGCAGCTGACGTTTATATCCGAGAATGATCACACAACAGGAGCACGGAGGAGGGTCAACACGGCCCGGTTATTTATAGGTGCAGGAATGCGTCTTGGACTTGAGACTTTAAAGTCACAGGACCCACCCCCTTCTTCTTTTTTCTTCACAAAGCATTGAGGTTATTCTTCCCTCAACTTTTGCGAAGACACTTTTATTGCACCTACGTTTTCAAGAATGAAAGCCCACTTTGTCTCAGTATCACAGAATGGACTTTTGTCCATAAGTGCTAAAATAAATATTTGCCATTAAGCTGTTGCTTCCATCAGATCGTGGTGGCTACTTCTGCAAATTTGCCATGAGAAGCAAATCTATGGTTGTTTCAAAAGGTGGTTTGTTTTGTGTAGTTGTTAGCTGTGGATTATTAGAGGGGTCCAGAAATGTCCTCTTATTCTTACCCCTTGTTTCCTTACTTCCTCTTTCTTTCCTAACAACAAAGAAACAAGCATCCCTTACATTTGGAAAGGATAGTTGTACAAAACATTTTGACTGGTAAGGTAGAGATCTCTATTCGAAATAGCCTATTCTTTCTGCTAGCTAACTAGTATTTAAGCTGTCAAACCACTCAGCAGTTAAGTGCTTAGTTTTTGTAACTCTTGTACTGGATCCAGTGTTTTTCTTTATTGTAGCATTGTCGGGGAGATAACTAATTTTCCTAGCCTTCAAATCATCATTCCAGCAGCAACTTTCATTATTTGGATTCACATATTGTGCTATACCATCATTTATTTTATTTTACTTTACTTTACTTTACTTTACTTTACTTTATTTTATTTTATTTTATTTTATTTTATTTTATTTTATTTTATTTTAATTTGATTTATATGCCGCCCTTCTCCGGAGACTCAGGGAGGCTTACAATGCGTTAAGCATTGTATATTTATACAAAGTCAGCTTATTGCCCCCACAAACTGGGTCCTCATTTAACCTACCTTAGAAAGGATGGAAGGCTGAGTCAACCTTGAGCCTGGTGAGATTCGAACTTACAGTAATTGCAGACAGCTGGTGTTAATCACAATGCTTTTAGTCTGCTGAGCTACCAGGCCCGTTATCTATTTATTTTAATAATTGTATAAACCCACCTGTGATGAATTAGTGTTATGAGAACTAAACTGTGACTTAGTCAACAAACTGCAGTTAAAAATTCTGGCTTAGCGCAATACATTAACTCAGGTACATTGTGGTTAACAAAGTCATCTCTAGCATAAAGGCTGCAATATTTAAAACATGGACACTTCAGGGTAAGGTTTGGAGAGGGGAGAATTCTCTTATAAGCACGCATCATTTGAATTTCGAGCTACATTTATTTCTTAGGTAAAGTAATAATTCATAACTGTTCCTCATCCAAGTTTCTAACAAAGTCGGTTGTGAAAAAATAATCACAGTAAATATTGTTGAGATTTGTTGTTTAATGCACTGCTGTAAATCTTATCTTGAAAAAATATTGAAGTGGTAAAGTAGTTAATGTAGTGTAGCTTTGGAGATTCAAACTGAAATCTATTTTCTGTCATCATCAAAACTCCCTGGTTGATTCTAGGCATGTCACACTCCCTTAGTTAGCCTTCCTCACTGTAATGTGGGGGGAAAATATAAGGTCTGTACATGTCAGCCTGAATTCTGCAATGAAAGATGGGATAGAAATGTAATGAATAATCAGACAACAAATGACCTATTGGGTCATCATTTCAGATATATTTCCTTACCTAAACAGATAAACAACATGACCATGGGTAGGCAAAAAAAAAAACAAAAACAAAAAACCCAGTGGGAGCAACTTCTGACTTCCTGCCGGTTTCCCCATTGATTTTGCTTATGGGAAGCTGGCAAGGAGCATTGGAAATCACAATCACATGACTGCGGCGACAGCAATGGCACTGTAGCAGCCACAAATTTGTCAATACAACTGTTCTGAAGATCCTTTAAATTTCAGTCCCATGGAAATAATGGGTCTCAGATACTGGACACATTCTATAAGTCAGCCCATTTGAGGTACAATGAAGAAAACATTATTGCCTATAATGCACTGTTTCACCTAATTGAAAGTTACAAGCAGACAATGGAAGAATGTTATTAGTATGTAGAATATTGATATGGTGATGATATTAATGATGATAAATAATGATCTTCAATAATACATTACATCAGAGTTCCCCAACCTTTCCAACTTTCCGGATTTGGGGGTGGTGGTGGAGAGGGGATGCTTCCTTGTGAGTGTGCGTGCATGCGCTCGCCCACTGTTTGCACAAGTGGGGATGGGTGATGCACTTGCCCGCTGCTTCTGTGGTCTAATTCCGAACAACTCATGGCCCAGTGGTGGGCTGCGGCCTGCGGGTTGGGGACTCCTTCATTATATCTCATATTCCCATATTATTTGTAATCATATATTTCTGTGATCTGAGTATCTCTGGCTTGAATATTTTTGTACTTAAAAACTCATGGCTTTGTTCACACAACTTCTTGAACCATATGCTACCCAACCACAGTTTAACCTAGCATGTCATGTAAACCCAATCTAGGTGATTAGCTTATGATTAAGTTAAATATGATGTACTTAACCCAAGTGTATAGATTTATATAACACTGAACCATAAACTAACTACACTGGCTTCAGTCAGTCAGTCAGTCAATTTGAACAATATGCTGAGTTAAAATGTGGCCAGTTTGTGGTTTGGCATGGTATGTGAATATAGCCTGCATATTGTAGTCCTCCTCAGAATCTTTTCTCCACCATAACATCCCATCTTGGTGCATCTAAATCATATACATTCTCTTCTGCAGCCCCAAGGGAGAGGATTACTCCACAGCCATCCTGCGCCAAAAGCATCGTCCTAATCGCCTCATTGTAGATGAAGCAGCCAATGAAGACAACAGTATTTTGAGTCTGTCCCAGGTAAATTTAAGCCCATTGTTCCATTTTCTTCTGACCAATCTTTATCCTACATCCCAGTTTCCACAATCTTTCTACGCCAGTCTTCCCAGTCTGTTGCCTGAAAAATGTATTAAGTCAGCCCTTTCCCAGAAATCTTGACCTTTGGTCAAGATAATTGGGAATTTGGGAAGTTGCTGTCCCAATACATCAGGAGAATGAGAGGATGGGGATATCTGATTTATAGTTGACCTCAAATATTCTACTCAATGGGTACATCATAAAGCAATCCACAAGATACTTAACTTTAAACTTTATATTTTTTCATATAATTAATCTAACCACAAGCACTGGGTTGGTTGTGGTTAGATTAATCTTAACTGGCCCTCTCGTATATGTAATATCACTTCCTAGAATTTTAAGCAAGTTAGTTTATCACCCATTGCTGTTTTCTTCGTGTATGCACATACGTGCACACACATCCTGAAGTCAGTATTTCATGACTTTTGCAGGCGAATTCTCAGACAGAGACAGACCTGTTTTGCTTTTCCTATTTTTTTCTTTTTTAGTTTAACAAAAGTTATTTTTGCTTGTCTGAGACTACTATCACAGACATCATTACTGTTGCCATCCCTGTTTCTGTCCAGCACAAAACAATAGCACTGAAAAAACTGAGTTATAACCAGTCCTTTCACTTACAACTGTCATAGCATCCCTGCAGTCACATGATCAAAATTTGTGTGGTTGGCAACTGGCATATATTTACTGCATCCTGGGGTCATGTGATCACCATTTGAACCTTCAAGCAAAGTCAATGGGATAAGTTGGATTCACTTAACAGCTGCAATGAAAAAAGATTGTAAAACCGGGAATGACTCATTTAACAACCACATTGCTTAGCAACAGATATTCTGGTTCCAATTGTGGTCATAGGTCAAGAACTACCTGTACTCAGAACAAATATTTCAGAACAATTTTAACAATTCCTATAACTTGGACTAGTAGCTGCTGAGGTGCCACATCCTGATTCCCAGAAACAATCTGTGCTTAAGGAGGCATTGACTGGCTGATTTTCAACTAGGAGGGGAAAGAGTTGAGCAAAAGTCAGCTCTCCATACCATCTGCTTGCTAAAAAAAAATCTTATATAGCTACGAGTGCTTATCCTTAGGATTTGTCCTCATGAGGTCAAAATGGAGGTGAATCTGTGAAGAACAGTAAAAACTGCTGAAATGCGTCTCTGTCAGTTTTGGCTATCTTCCATTCACATCTTGATGGAGAGGATGCCAGTCAGTACAGAAAAGCTTTGCTGTCTTGTCCTGTGCGGAGACGACTTTGCTAAACCTAATGCCACAGAGTAAGATTTCAAATCAACCTGAAAGAGAACCCCAGTTTGTCATAAGACTTCCTCCAATTGCGTTCCAGACCTCTGCCTCTCTGATTCAACATGCTGAGCTCTTAGTAAAAAAAAACCTGATAAAAGAACTGTGGACATGAAATCCTGAGCCATTCCTGGTTTGGCAACCTTAGCATGATTTAAATCCCTATAACAAGAAGTTGGGTCTAGTCCAGCACCAAGTCAGCTGCTTCCTTGGTTAACTCAGGGAAAAAGATTATAGGGCAGACCATATATTAACAGCATACTTATGTTATCTTGGCCATCCAAACATAGCAGCCGACAATCAAAATTAACAGATTATCTGGTAGAAGGCCTGCTCAGAGAGATGGAATTTCTATGGATTCAGCCACATGGTTCTCTATTTCCCAACCCTAGTCTATTACAATATTGAGTATCCCAATAGACACAGCCTTCTTCTGTCATGCAAGTCTGTAAAATACATACAGGTTAATACAAAATCTTGGATACTAGGCTTTTTTTTCCAATAGCATACCTAGTATTAAAAAGGATGACTTTCTGGATGAGGCTTTCTACCATCTCTGACATCCAGACATCTTTGGTTAGACTGCAGTCTCTAAAGAAGGGAAGCCAACCAGGTTTCCTTTTCCTGCATCTGCCAGGTTGCAGCCTTCCACCAGATATCCAATTACCTGTCACTACTATTTTTTCCCCAAGTGAACATCTATTTTTCATCCTCCTACCATTTCCATATACAGCTCATAATGCTAAGTAACAATGAGGAAAATAGACAAAGAGAGAGAGTTCCTCATCTGTTGTAATCATTGCTCTTAATATTTGTACATAATGACTCAGGAACAGCCCCCTTTGCTCCTCTGCACTAACAACAGCCCACTTCCCCGGGAAGTTTTTCTTTTAACTTTGAGAGCACATAATGCAATATCTCTGGGCAGAAAGGCTTCAATGGAAGACTTTGAAGCAACCTGATTTCACAAAGAGCCTGCAACAGGTACAACTTCATCTCCAGCAGTGGTGGGATTCAAAAATTTGTTTACTACCTGTTTTATGGGCATGGCTTGGTGGGCATGGCTTGGTGGGCATGGCAGGGGAAGGATACTGTAAAATCTCCATTCCCTCCTGATCAGCTGGAACTCGGGAGGCAGAGAATAGATGGGGGTGGGGTCAGTCAGAGGTGGTATTTACCAGTTCTCCGGTAAACTACTCAAAATTTCCGCTACCAGTTCTCCAGAATTGGTCAGAACCTGCTGAATACCACCTATGATCTCCAGTGCATTCTGGCTACATATATATAGCCTATGTGTGTAGGATTTGGGGTGATGGCAACTATGTGTTCTGAACTAACAAATCTCAGTTTGATTTTGTCCACAAGTAATGATTTGCCCAGTGCTTATACAAAATGAGCATGTTGTAGTCTTCTTTGTAGAACAGATGTGCTGGAGGGTCAAAACTAAACGTATTTTGGTTCTCCTCAGGCGAAAATGGAAGAACTGCACTTGTTCCGTGGAGACACGGTGCTAATGAAGGGAAAGAAACGCAGGGAGACAGTATGCATTGTTCTTACTGATGACACCTGCCAGAATGAGAAGATTCGAATGAACCGCGTCACCCGTAACAACCTCCGTGTGCGCCTTGGAGATGTGGTCAGGTGAGGGCATCCCAAAATAGAATAAGGGAGGAAAAGGAAAGGCTGTTGGCAAAAGAGAAAGCTAAAATGAGGAGGCATCAAAACAAAATGTAGGCCTAAATAGGGGGATTTCAACAGTTTAGAAGAAAACAGCCTTAACAATAATTTCTCTATGTAGATGTAGTGAAGTGGTTAGAATGTTGGACCAGGAAACCCACAAAAGATGTAATTAAAAATTTTGTTAGATTGTGCAGAAATGAATAGATTGACATTAAAAGAAAAAGAAGATACAGAGCATTTTCGAACACGGGACTTGTTTTATAAATAGTTGGGAGTAGAGTAGAAATTAGGAGTGGAAAGAGTATTATTGTATAAAAATATACAGACAATACGCTGTTCACTAAGCACTTATGTATGTAATATGAAAATATATAAATAAACTGTTAAAAAAAAAAAGAATGTTGGACCAGGATTAGGGAGACTCAGGTTCAAGTCTCTTAATCATAGCTTTTGAGTAACTTTAGCAAGGTCACTATCTTAGTTTAGCATATCTCATAAAATTATCGAATGGAAAAACAGGATGAGGAGACATGTTCATCTGTGCTACCTGGAGCTCTTGAAGGAAAAGCAATACTACTGTATATAGATAAAATATTTTTAGTTGTCCAAATAGCACTTTGGGATATTAAATTTGACACTAGAACTGAATAAGCACTATGGTGACCTGCCCTACAGATCAGTGGTGAAATCTGAACCGGTTTACTACTGGTTCGCTGGCTGCACATGCGCACCATGTGCTAAATGTGCACTGTGCACGCGCATGCACAGTGCACACCAAAAGGAGGCTTGGGAAGGTAAGTAGAAGAGTGCGGGGGGGGTGATCAGCTGTGGCGCGTGTGGGAAACTTTTTAAAAACTTTTTAAAAGCATTTTTACTACCGGCTCAGACAAATAGGTAGTAAAAAATGCTTTAAAAAAGTAAAAAAAAAAAAAAAGGCTCCGATGATCACAGCTGTGCTGCGCGATCATTGGAACCTTTTTTTTTTTTAACCTTTTAAAAGCATTTTTTTACTACCAGCTCGGGCGAATAGGTAGTAAAAAAATGCTTTAAAAAAGTAAAAAAAAGGCTCCGGCAATTGCACGGCACAACTGTGATCGTCAGAGCCTTTTTTTTTTACTTTTTAAAAGCATTTTTTTACTACCTATTCGCCCAAACTGGTAGTAAAAAAATGCTAATAAACTTTTTTTTAAAAAGTTCCAACGATCACGCATCACTCAGCTGTTTGTCGGAACTTTTTTTTTTTACATTTTTTACTCCTGATTCGGGCGAACTGGCCAAACCAATAGCATTTACTCCTGCTATAGATCCAGGATATCTGTAAAGCAATGGTGGGCAGCCTACAGTCCTAGAGCTGTAAAGATGCCTTGGCTTTACTTCAGAGGCCTTGAGTGAGAGGTCTCGGATAAGGGTTCCCTTTTTCCTATCTGCAGCTTGCTGCAGAGTAGAGAAATGGGGCTGTTAGGGAGAGGAGGGGAAAGAATGATGCAGGAGAGAAAATAGATGTCTAGATGCTCTGGCCCTATCCAATCCTTGTTTCAGTATCATCCATCGTGGAAGCCTCCATAGATGAACATTGGGGGATTATGTGTAAGCAGTGGATGTGTGTAGCACAATGCTGACCTCAGATGAGGCCATTTGAGTCTTTCTATTTCTAGTGTACAGGCCTGTCCGGATGTGAAGTATGGAAAGAGGATTCATGTACTCCCCATCGATGACACTATTGCAGGGTTGACTGGGAACCTCTTTGAAGTTTACCTCAAACCATACTTTCTGGAAGCCTATCGTCCTGTACATAAAGGTGAGAATGGACAGAATCACTTAGAAAACAATTGCGCCAGCAATTGCACTCCCACTACGCTGTCCCCCTTCTGCCAGACTCACTTGCCTGCCATTTTCCCCTTGCTACAAGCAAGCCAGCTGGACTGGCAGAGTAGAATAACATTTCTCTGTTTCACTTGAGCAGTCTGCCTCTTTACTGATGAAGAATTGGAGCCATTTTCTCAGTGGCCTCTTAACTATTGGATTGGCCTGAAATCAATCGGGCTGGCAAAACAGAAGTCAAAAGCACCAAGTAGTCATTGTTTATATGTCATTTCACTAGACCTGTCCCTCAGGACAGGATAAAGAGAAGTAGAGCTGGTGAGAGACTTTTGAGATAGAGAAAACGAAAGCAGTTTTATAGGCACCTCTTTATTAACTGCTGCTGGTTTGATGGGATGAATGCTTTAGCTCACAAGTTACCAAGATTCACCCAAAATTTTGTTTCTTTGTTGTTGGTGCCTTTGAGTCAGTGTTGATTCCTGGCAACTGCCTGGATAAGTCCCTGCAGTTTTCGTGGCAACATTTTCGGAAGCGGTTTGCCATTGTCTTCTTCCTAGGGCTAAGCGAGAGTAACAGGTGCAAGGTCATCCAGTTGGCTTTGTTCCTAAGGCAGGACTAGGACTCATGATCTCCCAGTTTCTAAGCTGATGCCTTAAGCACTATACCAAACTCATCCACCCAAGTCAGTACTAGGTTTTTTTTGCCACAAGTTGTTTTTAATGCTCAAGTACTGCCAATTCCTATAGTTGGAGTCAACACTGTCTTTATAACTCTCTTTGCCTTAGGCGTCTTCCTCCATCTCACACAGTATTAAGGGCTTAGGTCATAGGCCATAATAATGAAAATGGTGCAAGAGCTGCTTCCCTCATAGCTGCTCTTTACAACACTGGACAGTGCCAAGAGGCTGGAATTGTCCCCTTTTCAGTGCCATCAGCCTTCAGCAGCTTGTACTGCTTTAGTCTCTTATTTATTGGTTACATTTATATCCCACTTTTCTCTCCATACAACATTCAAGGCAATTTTCAGCAACCAAAATACAGATTGTAGAACAAAAATAAAAACAATGTAGTGTAGTTAAAATCAGGTAAAATTAAAATCAGTCCAGTTAAAGTTAAAAGTTTGGTGGATAAGATTTTTGTCATTTTCTAGAATTATGGGGGAATAAAGGCTGTCAAGTGGGCCTCACCAGAGCAAGTGTTTTTCCTACAACCAATAGGAACTGGGGACATGAATTAGGTTTTGCAGCTGGACCTACTTTTGCAGTGCCTTCACTTGCTAAAAATTTACCTTTTTTGTTTCACCCATATTACCATATCCTAATCCTTATCATGGGACATCACTTTGATTTCGTGGTTCAGTTCTGAGAAAGAATGAATTGAGCTAACAATGCAATTCCTCTGCTCTGTCTAGGTGATATCTTCCTTGTACGTGGTGGAATGAGGGCTGTGGAATTTAAGGTGGTGGAAGTAGATCCCAGTCCCCACTGCATTGTTGCTCCTGACACAATTATCCATTGTGAGGGGGAGCCCATCAAACGAGAGGTATGTGGGAGAGTTAATGAGATCCATCTCAAGAATGGGAACCCAGTAGCCAGAACTTGATGCTAGTCATTAGAGGCTCTTCAACAGTTTCCAATGGGAGTAGTGCAGAAGTGTCGTGGTCTGTGAGAAGCCACAACTTAGACCAGGGGTCACCAACGTTTTGGACCTCAGGGACCACTAAATCCATAATTTTAAAACCCATGGACCACTAATGTAATCTGCCTAATGATTGGCTGGGTGAGCATGGCTAGGTGGTCATGTGACTGGCTGGGTGTGGTCAACTCAATGTCACTCACATTGAGGGGTGCCTTGCCGGCCTCTGCTTGCCCCTCCCCACCCAGCCACTCACTCGCCTCCCCACCTGGGCTCCTTAGGGCCCAACAGGAAGCAGTTGTTGGAGCTCAGCAGCCACCTTGAGAAAGAATTGGCAAAAAAGCTGGCTCACTCACCAAATTGGATCTGAAGGAGGCTCAGCAGAAGGACCTCATTGGGGACTATGAGCGTAGGCTTTCCAAGCAGAGGGAAGACCTGCGGGAGTGCAAGGCCAGGTACAGGTGCCTGGAGGCTCAGCAGGCTGAGATGGTCAGCCAGTTCAGGCCATGATGCAGTCCCACTGGAACAAGGCCCTCCAGTTCTTCGCCACCAGCAGCACTTCCCTCTAGCCTTCGCCCAAAGCCCCACACCAGGAGGCTGAAGCAGACCTCAAGTCAGAATTTCTTTTCCCCTCCAACCCACACAAGAAGACCCCGAAGTGGGAGACTCTCTGCAGCAACACAAATGTTTATTACATGTATTCAGCCCAGGGACCGTAGTTTGAGAACCCCTGATTTAGTGCAATATAAAAAATGCAAATAATTTTTCTGCGGACCATCAAGATTTTCTCGTGGACCACCAGTGGTCCATGGACCACCAGTTGGTGACCGCTGACTTAGACCACTGTCATGTAGAAGGTATTTCATCTCACAGAAGGGAAAGGGACATGGGAACCATCTCAGAAGGAATACTCTAATTTTCTAAAAAGTAAAAACGAAGAAGGAGAGAAGTGCTTTCAGACTTGCAAGATTCTGTTTTGTTTATTTATCAAATTTAGAGACCACCCATCTCATTCTCAAAGTGACTCTGGGTGGTATACAATTAAAAACATAAAAACATTGTTCCTGTAACAAAAAGGGTAGTATTAGTATTTATGGTTTGTGGTCTGGACTATCTTGAAGGGCTGGACTATCTTGAAGGGCTGACAACAGGGGTAACATTTTAAGAGCAAGTTCTGTGGTTATTCCAAATGTTATTGCTGAGGAGCATACAGATTTAAGATATGAGTCTCCAATTCAACAATTACAGTATATTGTTGTCCTGGCTGGGAAGAGAGACCGTGATTCTTTGCGATGATCTTGTGGTGTGTTTTCTGTGTGCCTTTTGTTAGGATGAAGAGGAGAGCCTCAATGATGTTGGCTATGATGACATCGGGGGCTGCCGTAAACAGTTGGCTCAGATCAAAGAGATGGTAGAACTGCCATTGAGACACCCAGCGCTCTTCAAAGCGATTGGAGTGAAGGTACCACAATGGAGGGCTAGGATTACCATAATTTCCACATTATTGTTTGCCATCCTTCTTAGCTTTACAATATGCCATAATAGTCTATCATGGGCAGATGGACATTCTGTTTCAGTTTCTATTGATCACAATCTCTCCATCTTTCCAAGCAGGCTAGGCTTTGTAATGTAAACTTTTATTGCTAAAAGAATAAGAGCATGCTAGGGGCTTTACCGTATTTTTTGGACTATAAGACACACTGGAGTATAAGATGCAGCTTAGTTTTTGGGAGGAAAATAAGAAAAAAGGTGATTGGCGGATGGATCACCTCCTGGAGTACCCCCAATCAGCTGTTCCCAGAGGTGAATTTTAGCAACAGGTTTGTTGTTTGTGAGCTTTGCACCTTGCTTTTTTTTCAGCCTCTGAAACCTCTGTTTCAGAGGCTTTTTTTTCCTGCTGTTTCGGGGGCTTTTTTTCTGAAGCTCTGTTTCGAAGGGTTTTTTCCTGAAGTTCCGTTTCAGAGGCTTTTTTTCTGAAGCTCAATTTCAAAGGCTTTTTTTTTCTGAAGCTCCGTTTCAGTTTCAGAGGCTTTTTTCAGCCTCTGAAACCTCTGTTTGAGAGGCTGGGTGGGGCTGCATTCGGAGTATAAGACGCACCCAGATTTTCACCCTCTTTTTTGCGGGGGGGGGGAAGGTGTGTCATATACTCTGAAAAATACGGTACTTACTGCACATTCATTTGATGTGATTCCTCTGCTTTCTCTCTTCCTTCCTCAGCCTCCAAGAGGGATTCTTCTTTATGGCCCACCTGGAACTGGAAAAACACTTGTAGCTCGGGCAGTTGCAAATGAAACTGGAGCATTTTTTTTCCTTATCAATGGTAAGAAACACGGCACGGTGTGAATCTTTCTATGCGAGTGTCATAGAAAAAAACAACTATCCGGGACATCCATATTCTCCTAGCTGCCACATTTCTACATGATGATTGTAAAGGAATTGACGTATATTGCATAGAGTGGCATAACAAATTAATGGGAACCAGTGCAATGAAGTTTACAACTCTGGGCAATGACCAAACACGAAACAGCAGAAGTGGCAATCCTAAAAAAAGTCCCCTTTTCCAAACCCTGAGGTTTGTTAAAGAGTCCTGGAGTCCTTTTGTTCATATTGCTTAGGCTTAGAACCTGGCTTAGGATCTGGCTATCTACAAGACCGCATTCTGCCACCGATTGCCTCCCACCGACCGGTACGCTCACACAGAGAGGGCCTCCTCAGGGTGCTGTCAGCCAAACAATGTAGACTGGTGATCCCCAGGGGGAGAGCCTTCTCTGTGGGGGCCCCTGCCCTCTGGAATGAATTGCCCCCGGACATACAAAGGATCCCCGACCTCCGCGCCTTCCGTCGTGCAGTGAAGAAGACCCTGTTATTACAGCAAGCCGCTCTGATGGGATAAATGGTTTTAATTTGGTTTTAATGGGGTTTTAAAATTGGTTTTAAATGAGAGTTTTAAATTCGGCCTATGATTTAATTATTTTAATCTGCTTTTAAATTCTATTTTGTACACTGTTTTATTATGGCTGTTCACCACCCTGAGTCCTTCGGGAGAAGGGCGGTATATAAATGAAATAAAATAAAATAAATAAATAAAATAAATATTCTGTCTTGCTTCTTCAGGCCCAGAGATCATGAGCAAGCTGGCTGGGGAATCTGAGAGCAACTTACGCAAAGCCTTTGAAGAGGCTGAGAAGAATGCTCCAGCTATTATCTTTATTGATGAACTAGATGCTATTGCTCCCAAGAGGGAGAAGGTAAGGGATGGTTTCTTGAAAGCAAAGTGGAAAGAAACTCAAAGAAACATTCATGGTCTCTGCGACTGAGGTGGTGGCAACTCCATTCAGTTGCCCCCACCTCAGATGTTGGTAGAGGTGTTTCAATACAAAGAGCGGTCTCAAAGATGATAAGATTTCATCAATGGGTGAAACATTAATTTGTACAAAGCCCTGATCTCTTTCCTCAGCACTAATGTGTAGATCCAAGTTTCTGAGAAATAATGCATCTTTTTCCTTGGTGAGTTATGTGAAAAGGCAGGCAGGCACACAATAAAGTTAGAGAGCATAGAAGAGAAGAGGGCAATATGAAATAAAATTCATGCCAGGATGAAGAGGTTAATAATGCAGGGCTGGAGTAGTAGAAATCTTTACCCTGCTAAGTGTTAAGAATAAGTGCTGCCTTAGTCTCATGCCATCTAAACTCATAGAAAAGCTAGCAAGACACTTACTGGAATTTGTGGTCAGCGGACAAGGTGTTGCTAAACAAACTATTACCTTGATTTATAAATGAATGAATGAATATTTGTAATAGATGGTATCTTTCTTGTTCAGGAGGTGTTTATACATGGTTTTCTGCCCCCATGTTTTATTTTCACAATTCTTTGATTATAATTAGTTGTATTGGGAGACAGTGATGGCCCAAGGTCATCCAATGAGTTTCTTGGCTGAGCAGGGAGTTGAACTTGTTTAAATCCACTATCCAAATAAGGCAATACTGCAAATAATGCATCTCATACTTTCCAAGCCATTATTCCTTTTTTGCCTCCAGTAACAGTCTCATGCAGTTCTTCCACTAGGAGGTGCTGTGCTCACACTCTGAAATCTAGGCAGGTTTGTTGGTTTCTCTAGGATGGCACTGTTGCTGATATTTCAGCATCTTCTTTTCTTCTATGATTCTATGGTTCTTCTTTGCGCTCCCATTTCAGACACATGGGGAAGTGGAACGCCGGATTGTTTCCCAACTCCTGACCCTCATGGATGGCCTGAAGCAACGCTCTCATGTCATAGTTATGGCTGCCACTAACCGACCAAACAGTATTGATCCTGCTTTGCGTCGATTTGGTAAGAATCTGCCCACATTTTTCTCTTTCTACCCCTGCCTTTCTCTTGTCTGAGATCTGATCTTATATGCCAGGGCTGGCAAACTCGCAGCCCACGGGCCGGATATGCCACACACTGGCCACACCCACGCCCGGTTTATCAAAGGGGGGAAACAGTTGAAATGTGTCACGTGACGTTGCTGTGGCGACATGAGTTTGACATTTCTGTTATTTGCCATTCATAATGGTATCATGTATCAAAATCACAAGTTACTTTTAGCTATCAGGTTAAAAAAAAGCCGGTCTAAAAACGTTGACTCTCATGCCTTAAAAGTGGCTGTCACTGATGCTTAACTTATTAAATGAAAAGAAGGCAAATTTTCTGCATTTGGGAACAGCATTCTCTCCACCTCTTTGTCTGTCTAACAATACCATTTTTCTCAGGCTCTGTGAGCTTTGGAGAGTATTGGGGACAAGCAGACATCATCTCTTCATCAGTCAGCATGCCAATTAATGCCTGATATATATAAAATACAATAGTTGTGTGGACAAAGTATATGTTCAGGACTGGACAATCCTGTTTACTCACTGCTTTTCTGCAGGGCGCTTTGATCGAGAAATTGACATTGGAATTCCAGATTCAGTGGGAAGGCTGGAAATCTTACAGATACATACCAAGAACATGAAACTGGCTGATGATGTGGACCTGGAGAAGGTAAGGACAAAAATAAACTGTTTTAAGGGATAAGGATAAACAAAATTGCATTTCGTCGAGCTTATTCTATGAATCTTGTTAGTAGCAATAACCTTTCTTGGTAATTTTATTCATAAGGCACTCACGTTGCAGTTTCTTTTGACTGAGTTTATTGATAATGGACGTGTAAGATTGTCTACATATCTGAGCACCCATACTTATATCATTTATTTTGGGATCAATTAGTAAATTGTAAAAGCTACATTGTTAACAACTGCCAGCGTAAATTGCTTCCATTAGTTAGAAAACTAAACATGCAACTGTCTTGGATTCTGGGACTAAGGCCATGATTACATTAGCTTGATTAGGATACACAAGCCAAATGAGTATCTCATTAAGAAGTTAGCTGGAATCAAAATTGGATTATGGGAATTAAGAAAGATACATTCAAACAAAATTGCAGAAGGATGGGGGAATCAGAGGTGCCTCATCACTCTCATATTCTTACATTATTTTGCAAAAACGAAGAGTGAAGAGAATGGAAAGGCTTAAAGATAGAAATTCAAACATGCTATCTTAAGGAGAAGTCACAGATTAATTACAGCAGCTGCAACTTTCACATAAGCTTCATCATTGCCTTTCACAGTTTCGTGATTTCTCCCCCATTCTACTGTACTCTTAAAATAAAGCAGTACCATCACAGTCAAAAAGCCATTTTACCTCTGAATTTTTAGCAGCAGAATTCCAGGATACTTGGGAGCTGGTTCCACAGGTTGAAGCTCCCAATATCTGGAACATCTTTCCCCATGCAGTTGGACCAACCCTCTTGGTCTTCCAGAGGGCCCTTAAACATGGTTTTGTCTACTAGCTTGAGCATCTCATGATAGAGTGGAGCTTGTTAGATGGTTGTATGATGGCTAATGGAATGCACTCTGTGAACATTTTCCTGCCGTTTTATAAATTGGTTTTTATCTGGTTTTTATTTTAATTGAAATTAATTGTTTTGGTGCCTTTTATATTCCTTTTATATACTCTATATACCTTATACCTTGGATTATTATTATGCATGCCTCCCAGAATTACTATGTGAGATTAGGAGTTATACAGATGTGATCAAATAAATACTGGGAGTAACCCAGGTAGGCTGCAGGGATCTCCCCCTGGTTTCCCCCATTAAGTGTTCTGATTTACCTGGACTGTGGTTGCAGGTGGCCAATGAGACCCATGGTCATGTGGGTGCTGATCTGGCAGCATTGTGTTCCGAGGCAGCACTCCAAGCAATCCGTAAGAAGATGAGTGTCATTGACCTGGAGGACGATACAATCGATGCTGACATCCTTAATGCTATGGCTGTCACCATGGATGATTTCCAGGTAGGCTGGTTCTGGGCATCCAATAGCTACATCATTTTTCTACAACAATTTACTTTTGCTTTTTAGTTCCTGTCAACAGAGCCCAGTTCCTCAGAAAAACTGAGGAATCCCAGAACACTCTGTCCCAAATACGGAGAAGATTGCAGTCTTACTCCTCCAGCCCTTTCTTTCAGTGTTACTGATTTATTACATTTCTGCTTTTTAACATAAACTTAAAAACTGATTACAGACAAATGGACTCAACATTTTTCTAAGTATACACAATGGGATCTTGATTTTTGCAAAGACCATGTTCTTTATAATTACTAAATAGCTTCCAACTGTGTTTGTTCAAAGTACAGATGTTTAGGATTTGATTTAATTGGAAGGGTGTGTCTTGTTATCTTGTTATTCTTGTGTTGGAATAATTTGGTTATTGATGTGTCACATCTGTAGCAGGCATGTGCATGGTTCTTCGGCTATACACTCTATTATATATTTGGATTATAATAGTAAAATCTAATATAAACTAAATGAAAGAAAAGAGAATAGAGAGGAGTAAAGAGTGCAGGAAAAAAGAAAGAAGAAAAAGAGAAAAGTTAGAATATAGTAAAAACTCTACTTTTCCACTATATCTTTTCTCCCATCTTTTTGAAACAATATTTAGAACTATAGAGTCACTTTTTAATAGTAATTTGTTGTTGTTGTTGTTGTTGTTAGTCGCAAAGTCATGTCCGACCCATCGCAACCCAATGGACAACGTTCCTCCAGGCCTTCCTGTCCTCTACCATCCCCCGGAGTCCATTTAAGCTCACGCCAACTTTTTCATGACTCCATCCAGCCACCTTATTCTCTATCGTCCCCTTCTTCTTTTGCCCTCAATCTTTCCCAGCATTAGGCTCTTCTCCAGTGAGCCCTTCCTTCTCATTAGGTGGCCAAAGTATTTGAGTTTCATCTTCAGGATCTGGCCTTCTAAAGAGCAGTCAGGGTTGATCTCCTCTAGGATTGACCAGTTTGATCGCCTTGCAGTCCAAGGGACTCTCAGGAGTCTTCTCCAGCACCATAGTTCAAAGGCCTCAATTCTTTGGCGCTCAGCCTTCCTTATGGTCCAACTTTCACAGCCATACATTGCAACTGGGAAAATCATAGCCTTGACTCTACACACTTTTGTTGGCAGGGTGATGTCTCTGCTTTTTAGTATGCTGTCTAGATTTTGAACAGTAATTACTCGGCTCTAAATCTCAAAAGTTTCCTGATTCACTTGACCTGAATTAGTTATAATTTTGAAACCAATGCTTTTGTTACTTTTGCCAGCTGAGTCAGATGTAGTCTCCGTAAGTGGACATGATATTCCATATTTATTTTCCCATCTGAAGGAGAAGGGAAGATACCTTCAGTTCTATTAAAGATTTGGTACCTGGTTTTCATCCGCGTGTATAACTTTCAAAGGCTGCAGCTACTGTATTGTTCTTTTTTTCCCCATCCAATTTGAGGTACTTCCTTCTTCCCATAGTTCTCACACCAAACGGCAGCAGTTATCCAAGGTCTTCATAACATCTTTGGGTTCAGCGTCTGCTTTTCCCAGACTGGCCCATTTCTATCTTCACATTTCTTTTAAAGTGGAATGAAAAGTGGAGCTGCTATCCTCTTTAATAATTTGTCAGGTGATTAATAGTGCTAGTCTGAGTCTCAGAAGAGCCATATGTAGGTCACACAGGTGCAAAGCTCTCAGTGGTCACCTTTGCCTGCAGCAGAGTTGTGGTGAAAGTTAACAAGGCATTCAAAATGACTTCAGTTGTACATTACTTCAGTGGACTGGGTATAATTACCAGTCATAAAGAGGTCTGAAATGCCAACGTAGGAAAAAAGTGTTAGCTTATTGTACAATCTTACTCTGGGAAATAAGTTTGGGGAAAAAGTATCGCTATGCGTAAACAGTAGAGAGGTTGGCCTTGATGACTAGAGGGAATATTTGTTACCAAGGCAATGATCACATAAATGTGAATTGACTTCATATAAAAAAAAAATGTGGTGTATGAAAACACCTCAGACAGCCCCACCCCCACCCCCAATTCATACGAAGATAAAAGAGGGAGTAGAGGAAGCACATTCAGATTTGCAAAATTCTGTTACTATAGCTGTTCTAATAAAAGTAGCTTTAGGCCCACACAGCATCTGTTGCTGAGTCTGGTGTACTTTATAGGACTGACATTATGTTTGTAGAAAAATAGTTGACAACAATCAGATTTTGTCATCCTTTAAATCCACACAGGATAGCACGCAGCTTTTTCCACGGTCTATTTGGCAGGGATATTATAATTAAGGATTCTCTGAAATGCATGGACCTATGCCTCCTGCAACGTGTCCTTTATGTCATTTCCAAGTATGGGGAAATATCTTTCTGGAACTATGGCATCACTTAGCTTTTGCAGATCCATACAAAAGGGCATTTTACCATTTTTTCTTGGTGACTGGGCCCATTAGTGCACACCACAGAATAGGGTTTGTAATTTCTTGAATTAGGTCATATTCATTCACTGTTTAAAGGTTCTGTATGCAATTTTTTCAAACAAAACAAAACAAATGAGCACTGTGTGATTTGTGCACTATATGAAGTAACGTTGTGTTGTTATGTGTTATTCATGGCTAACTCTTTTGAGTCAAGTATATTCCATACTCTTGCAGAATTACCTTGTTCATTTTTTAAATTCCATCTGGATCCAAATGCAAATATCTTGTACTTATCCCCTTATTACACATATATTAATAATTGAGGGGGTTCTTTTATAATATTTACTGTATGTCTGAAATTTTTTTTCATATAGTCCAGATTTCTACTTGGACTAGGAAGAGTAATCTGTTTCTTTGATGGTCTTTTCTGAAACAAATACTCAAGGGTCTAATTTGAAATTAAAGTTTGTACCACTGATGGAAAATAAATTCTTCATACAGGTTCAGTTTCTTCAGATACAACTCCATGCCCACACCCCAACACGCCTACCAATTAATCCTTACAAATCATTGTTAAGATTTTGCACCATTTATATATGGCATACAATAGCCAAATCGCCTACTTAGATATTTCCTGTAGTGTGCTCCTCCAGTGGAGCAGATTCCTTTAGCATTGTGGGCTTTACCACATTGTGTACCAACAGACAAAGGAGCTGGTTCTTTTGGGTCTCTCTAGGATACTCTAGACCAGGGGAGTCAAACTCACGTCGTTACAGCATCGTCATGTGACGTATCGCGACTTTTGTCCCCTATGCTAAACGGCGTGGCCAGCACATGATGCATCTGGCCCGCAGACCATGAGTTTCACAGCCCAGCTCTAGACTACTTAACCTGGGCCATCTTCTGTTCTATTTTTTTCCTGTTCGAAATGGCTACCATTTCTCCTCCTCACATCATATGGAGAAGAGGTAATATTTTTTGAACTATTCCTTATATATCTGTTCTCCAAGTGACACCACTAAGTTATGTAAGATGATGAACATTGTCCCTCAATGGTAGATTAAAATCAAATATTTGATTCGAAGTCTTCTGACAAATTTCAGAGCTCCTCATTTAATGTCCTCTACAGATCCAACGTAAAACTTTGCACCCTAGGTAAGACCTAGTGGAGACACCTAGTATTATGATTATTCGAAAGTCGCTTAAGAGCTTCTGTGCTCTGCAAAATAGAAGTGCACTCCATCACTGTTTTAGATCTGATTCCTTGCATTGTTCATTGCTAAGAGTTTATGTGTGTTTTTCTTCTAGCCAGGTTTTCCCTACGTAGCCAAGGTTTTTTTGTAGCTCCAGCTCAGTAGAATCTCATCTACTCGGTTCTGGGCTTTTTTCTTTTCTAACACCTAGCAAGCTCTCACTGCTAGGTGGGAGACCTAAATAGATCCATTTCTAGCTCGTTAGCTGTCATCAGTAGGCCACACCCATATCCTCCCTGTAAAGGCACAGTATCAATTTTCTTACTTCTTCGTAGGGTTTATGTGTGTTTTTCTTCTAGCCAGGTTTTCCCTACGTAGCCAAGGTTTTTTTGTAGCTCCAGCTCAGTAGAATCTCATCTACTCGGTTCTGGGCTTTTTTCTTTTTTAATGTGAGATCGCAGCTGTGATCTCACATTGCTCCTGGAAGCATGAAGCCGAGAACACCAGCCTGAAGATGACGAATGAGACTTCGTCAAAACGTCGCCAAGACACTTCCAATTTTATGTGGGAGAAGACCCGAATAACCAAAGACCTGCATACAAACACCCGCGAAAACCTCATTAATATTCCTATGTACACTGGGAAGAATTTTCTAACGCATTTCTGGAAGTTGGGAATATTAATGAATACTGTGAAACTATTACCTCCTTGTATTCCTGTTGCACATCCATGCCACCAATCTGAATATAGAAAGGTTTGTTCTTTTGAATGGGCCTCATGGAATGTTAGGCTTAATTACAGGAATGAAAGCTGAGCAAAATGATGAACTCTCTTGGGGGCAGTCACTGATCTCGGTGCTTTGTGCTATCCTACGAAATGCTGTGGTAACCATGCTGCCCTTTCTGCTTTCCAGTGGGCTCTTGGCCAGAGCAACCCTTCTGCCCTAAGGGAGACCGTAGTGGAAGTGCCGCAGGTCTCCTGGGATGACATTGGGGGCTTGCAGGAAGTGAAACGTGAGCTACAAGAACTGGTGCAGGTCAGTCATTCACACAAGTAGTGCAAACACATCAGAACATACGTGCGTATAATTGTGTCTGCATAGCATAAAAAGATAAAGGACAGTACAAATGCGTTAACTTTGCTGAGATCCAACCCTTGTGAAAAATTTCAGTGTGTCTTGCTTGTAATAGCTCAACTATTCTGGTAAATCAAGGCCAGGGAAGTAAAAGTTCCAAAATGGGGGGGCTAAGAGAACCTTGAGGAAATTAATTCAGTTGAAAGCACATTATAATGCATTGCCATTAATGAGAGCTCTCAGTGGCTTACAGAGCAGCTCCAAGTTACAGTAATGCAGTGGCCTCCTTTAGCAACTGGAAAAATCCATGCATATATTTCTAGGAACCAAAAAGCAATATTTCAGCAGGAAATGAACATACATCTGCCAGCACTGTTCTATTTTATAGCCTTTTATGAACAGCATGTTGGATTATTTAACCTTGAAATCCCCTCTTCCTTTCACAGGCCTCTTGGTTATAAAATCAAGGCCAACTTCAATCCGAATATATCACCACTGAGATAATCAAAATTCAGTGATTCAGAAATGGAACATTCTGAAAAACATGGAGCATGCCAAATTTCTTTTGGATTATGCCAATCCAGGGCATAATCATTTGAAACTAAATTTCCTAAACTAAAGCTCTGACTTGGGCAAACAGAATGTGCTAGAATTCTCTAGAAAATTCCATTGCTGAATTTTACACATCCTCGCACCACAGTATTTATACACAATTTCTGCACTCACTGACCTCATCTCTGCTCTTGGCAAAAAAGCAGACAAGCATTTTGCTTGCTTTGATATTTTAAGAGATGATGTGGGGATAATAAGGTGATGCAGATTGCTTTCAGATTGGAACCTTAACCAGAATTATAAAAGTTGTGCCCTTGGCATTTCTCCTCTCCAACAATAATGAATGTAAGGTTTGGTGTTTAATGCTTGAAGGACACTGACAGAACCATTTTCATCACAGACATCCTTGATACTGCTTCTATAAATGTAAAATATATATTAAATTCACATGCATACATATAAGTGTGTGTGTGTGTGTGTATTTGAGATCAGCTATAAACCACAGGGAAGAGTGTTGGTCAGCTACATATTCTGTGTGCACTAGTCCTCTTAACACAGAGCTCTGGCACCTTTAGAAAACTGCTGAGCTTCCCCACCTATCACCTCCAGCCAGCATGGCCAGTGTTCATTCATAGGAGGAATTAGAATATAAACTCCATTGAGTGCATCCCCAGATGCAGTCAGATATTTTTTTATAGTCCATCCTTGTTCCAGATTAATAATGAGTGGTGTGCATATTGCCTAGGCCAGGGATGGCGAACCTTTTTGGCACCAAGTGCCCAAACTGGGACACATGTGCATGTGTGTGTGCCGGAGCGCCAGAAACATGAAGACCAGCTGGATGGCATGCGCTGCCTGTTTTCTGGCCATTTTGGGGGCATTTTTTGAGCCGTTTTCTGGGCGTTTTTGTCCTGAAAAACAGCTTGAAAACAGCCTGTTTTTTTTGGGTGTTTTTGGGCCTGTTTTCTGGTGCCCAGAAAGAGCAGCTGGCTGGTGTGCTTGGGCATGCTGGAAACCAGAAAAGCAGCTGGCGATGGCATGCGTGCCCATAGAGAGGGCTCTGCGTGCCACTTCTGGCACGTGTGCCATAGGTTCGCCATCACGTGCCTAGGCAGTGAAGACAGTACATGAGGGTAAAGCCATTCTCTTTAGCTGGTCTTTACAACCCAGACAATGAAGAAAAGTCAGACAGTAGTTTTTCAAGCAGAAATAGTACTGACTTTTATAAGACCAATGGCTCAAGTTTCTTACTTCTTTTCTCTCTTGTCTTCGTCAGTTCCCAGTGGAGTATCCGGACAAGTTCCTGAAGTTTGGAATGACACCTTCACGAGGTGTCCTGTTCTATGGGCCCCCTGGCTGTGGCAAGACACTCCTGGCAAAGGCCATTGCAAACGAATGCCAGGCCAACTTTGTCTCCATCAAGGGTCCTGAGCTACTCACCATGTGGTTTGGAGAGAGTGAAGCCAATGTCCGTGATGTTTTTGACAAGGTACAGAGTACAAAGTTGGCGGGGGGTGGGGGGGAGGGGAGGAGAAGGGCTGACTGTTGGGGCAGGAACTGGAGGCATCATCTATTTCCCAGTCACCCATAATGTCAAAATGAGCTCTTGTTCTGGTGGCTTCATCCAGACATGCCTGCAGTTTTTGAGTAACAGTATAGAAATGGTTTGCCATCATCTTTCCTAAATTTTTGTTTTACCCTCCAAAGTAATACACAACGCTGGTATTCTCTGGAAGTCTCCCATCCAAGTATTAACTAGTGCAATCTTGCTTAGCTTGAATCCAGACAAAAGTGGCCAGGTTTTGCCTCCTGTGAGGTCCTGCCACCCATAGAAGAAAATGAAAACGTGAAAGAGGTTAGAATGAGCTCCCACTTTATAAATATGTTGTGGAATTTTGGCACTGATTCCGGAGCTTTTATTAAAGGAAGCCATTGGGGAATGTCCTAGGGTGGACATCCCATTTTTAGTAGCTGCCCACAATTCACAGTTCATTGTCTCAGGACAATCCACTAGTTTTTCATGGTCCATTGGACTATTTAGTCTAACCTTCACTTTACCAAAGGATAGTCCTGTAATCCAGGCATCACAGTTGAAATTCATTAATCTGGAAAGGTGGAAGGACTTGGAACACAAGACACATACTTTGCCAGTCTTATATTTTGTTATCTAACTCATATTGGTCCTTTTGTTCCCCAGGCCCGCCAGGCTGCTCCCTGCATCCTGTTTTTTGATGAGCTGGACTCCATTGCCAAGGCCCGAGGTGGCGGAGCAGGGGATGGTGGGGGTGCAGCTGACCGTGTCATCAACCAAATCCTCACAGAAATGGATGGCATGACCAATAAGAAGACAGTATTTATTATAGGTGCCACCAATAGGTGAGAATTTAAAGGAAGGAAGGTCCAGTTCTGTGGGCTGTAGAGATGTTTGGGCAACACCACCTCTTTGTCCTGTTGCCAGTTTAGCTATTCCTCCTCCAGAGTCCTTTTTTACTCAGCTGGTCATTGAGACTGGATTGAAGTAAGAGGTCATTGAGAAAAAGTTAAATCAGGACCTCTTCTTTGGAAACAAGTCTCCAGGGTGACATGTGACCTCCATATCTGATTTATGGCCCCCTTTGGCCATAATTTCTCCAATCTGGTAGATTGAATTCTGTCTTTGAAATAACAAACTCAGGAAAACTGTAGTATCAGCTCTATAGTTCAGTATCAACATATTCTAGATAAAAACAAAACACTGTTGTGACTGAGGCCCAAGTAGTTATTACCAAACACAATTCAGTCCTGAACAAACTTATTTTATTAAAACAGCTGAGAATTAATTCATTCTCATCTTAGCCCAAAACAAATTCTTCATAACCAGTCCTAGGGCCTTATCACCAACCTTTGATGTTTTTGGCAACCTGCCAAAGGCTTTTCTTGGCAACCCCCCCCCCCCCCCAAGTTTAAAAGACACAAGAAGCACTGGAATCAACGTTGCTTTTCTACAAAGAACCCAATGGCCTGTTGCTGCTCTTTTAAGCCTTATGGGAGTGGCCAATCATCTTCTGGCCTTACTCCCGAGTCGTCCTTTTTGCTTCAGCTGCTCTTATTTATCTATTTGTTCAACTTGTATGCCACCTTTCTCCGAAGACTCAAGGCGGCTTACAATGCATTTAAAAACCATATATAAAACATTAAAAGTTAAACCATTAAAAACAATTAAAACCCATTCATTCATGGCCAGATCTCGCCAAATTGCAGCAGCGAGATCAACGGCCCCAGGCCTGCTGGAAGAGCCAGGTCTTCACTTCAATAGGGTGGGGATGGACCTCAGGAGGTAACTGGTTCCAGAGAGCTGGGGCAGCCACAGAGAAGGCCCTCCCCCGCGGGCCTGCCAGCCAGCATTGTTTAGCTGATGGGACCCTGAGGAGACCAACTCTGTGGGATCTTACCGGTCGCTGGGAGCTATGCGGTAGAAGGCGGTCTCGAAGATTCCCTGGCCCTGAGCCATGTAGGGCTTGCCTTCTGGCAGCTCTTCACATGCATGTATTAGGAACAGGCTTCTGTTCCTCTGCCTCTCTGCTGTCTGCCTCTGGAGGCTTCGGAGTCCACTCATCACTCCCAGATGGCCTTGGCCCCATCTCTGCCTCCAACACAGAGCCCTTGTCCAGGCCTTCCCCTGACTCCAGGACTGGCCCATTGTCCTCCCCAGCCTCCTCACTGTCCGACTCCACTGCCAGGTCTGCAGGCTGCTGGCAGACCACAACAAACTCCCTGCAAAGACTGTACCACCTCCCCACCCCCCATGGAATATAGTCTCACCAACTTTGCAGTCTTCTGTCCCCTTGACCCCTAGTCTTGCCTACTTCTGCTATAGAGATGCATTCCTGTCAAAGAAGCATCTGAGTTGAGATGCTGGAGCCATTCCTAGGAGAAAAGCAACCCATGAAACTTGCTGTTGTCTCTTTGCCAACTCTTTTCAGACCAGACATCATTGACCCAGCCATCCTTCGTCCAGGACGTCTGGACCAGCTCATCTACATCCCATTACCTGATGACAAATCTCGTGTAGCGATCCTCCAAGCCAACTTGAGAAAATCACCAGTTGCCAAGGTCAGTCAAAGGAGGCAAGAAATGGGCATGTAAAACTAAATCAGCAATAGATGTCAAGGTTCAGGTGTCACCCATCCAGTAGAGGAGGACTGATGGTGACAATCTTTAAAGAGAGTGTGTGGCTCAGTCTTCCCTGAAGTTCTCTAGTGTCAAAGTGAGGAACAAGATGGCAGAAGAGCCATTTGGCGCAGTAGTTAGAATGCAGTATTACAGGCTAACTGTGCACTGCCAGGAGTTCGATCATTACTGGCTCTAAATTGACTCAGCCTTCCATCCTTCCAAGGTTGGTAAAATGAGGACCCAGATTGTTGGGGGAAATATGCTGACATTGTAAAATGCTTAGAGAGGGCTGTAAAGCACTGTGAAGTGCTAAGTGCTATTGATATCACTACTCATTCTACGGACAAGACCAAATTGTTCCAATACAGAAAATGGGGCAGTGGCTGCCACTGCCTTCTATGCTGATTCACCATGGAAGGCTAAATTAGTTGACATATAGTCAACTCCTTAAACAGATTTTTGCTGCCCCTCAGCATTCATCTCTCATTTTTGTCTTACTTTGCTAATTTGGGCAAGTAATATTTCAGCTTGTATATCTTTTTCCAACAGGATGTCGACTTGAATTATCTAGCTAAGATCACACACGGCTTCTCGGGTGCTGACCTCACCGAAATCTGTCAGCGTGCCTGCAAGCTTGCCATCCGTGAGGCCATTGAGATGGAGATCAAGGCAGAACGGGAACGCCAGCGTCAGAAGTACGCTGCCATGGTATGGGCACAGTATTTTCCCTTTTCCATTGAAAACCAGACCCGATTCCTTCCCTTATCTCAAGCGCTCTTCTTAAGAGTGTTTTCTCCACCTTGGGGGCTACAGTGTGCCTGACAGCTTTTTCTTCTGTGACTTGTAACAGGATGATGATTATGACCCAGTGCCAGAGATCCGGCGGGATCACTTTGAAGAAGCAATGCGCTTTGCACGCCGTTCGGTTAGCGATAATGATATACGCAAATATGAGATGTTTGCTCAGACGTTACAGCAGAGCCGTGGCTTTGGCAACTTCAGGTAACATTAGAAGAAGTTTGTGCTGCTTCAATCCAGGGGTGAAATCTACTTACCTTCCTTACCGGTTCGGAAGTGCACATGCCCCGCGCCTTCTGCGCATGTGCAGAAGGAAAAAACCATTACTTCCTGGTTAAAACCAGGAAGTAATGACACCTGGGCAGCGATTGCTACCGGATCGCCGAACCACAGGGAGAAATCGCTACCAGATTGGGTGATCTGGTCCAATCTGGGAGCATTTCACCCCTGCTTCTATCCCCAAACAAATAAAGGTACCGCAGCACTGGCTGGGGTGGGAGGGCGTAGACAGGGGAGTTGCATTCCTGACTTTTTCCCAAGAAGATCCATACAATTTCATTCATTACATTTAGGCAGTATCAGAGCCCCCCAAATCATTTATAAAATCCTACAGAGGGAACAATCAGCGTCTGCAACAAAATGCAGCAGTGCGTAAAAGTGAAGTCAGGATGTCAGCCATTTCAGTCTCCTATTCCCACCCAATTTCCCTGAATGAAAGGTGGGATATAAATCTACTTAAAGAAGAATTTTTTTAAAAAACCAATTATTTTTAAGAGGGATATAAATTTAATAAATACTTTGGTGTGCTTGTGCAATTCTAAGATTAGACAGCTAAGATTAGAGCAACATCTGACAGCTGTGGCTAGGGGACCTTTGCACAGGTTCACCTGGTGCACCAATTGTGACCGTACTTGGATCAGGAGGCTCTTCTCACAGTCACTCATGCCCTTGTCACCTCACGGTTAGATTATTGCAACACGCTCTACATGGGGCTACCCTTGAAAAGTGTTCGGAGACTACAGTTGGTCCAGAACGCAGCCGCGCGAGCTGTCGTGGGTGCACCTAGATACACCCACATTACACCAATTCTCCGCAAGCTGCACTGGCTCCCTATTGGTCTCCGGTCGCAATTCAAGGTGTTGGTTACTACCTTTAAAGCCCTACATGGCTCAGGGCCAGGTTATCTTCAAGACTGCCTTCTGCCGCATAGCTCCCAGCGACTGGTAAGATCCCACAGAGTTGGTCTCCTCCGGGTCCTGTCAGCTAAACAATGTTGGCTGGCGGGCCCGTGGGGGAGGGCCTTCTCTGTGGCTGCCCCAGCTCTCTGGAACCAGTTACCTCCTGAGGTCCGGACCATCCCCACCCTATTGGCCTTCCGAAAAGCGGTGAAGACCTGGCTCTTCCGGCAGGCCTGGGGCCCTTGATCTCGCTCTTGTGATCTGGCGAGATCCGGCCATGAATGGCGTGAATGAGTTTTTAATGTTTTTAATGTTTTTAATTTTTAAATGTTTTTAATAATGATTTTTTAAAATGTATTGTGAGCCGCCCTGAGTCTTCAGAGAGGGGCGGCCTATAAATTGAATTAATTAAATTAAATTAAATTAAATTCTAAACTGCATGGGATTTTTTTTTTTTTTAATTTTCATATTAAGAACCATATCCATCCATTGGATGTTGTGCTTTTTAAAAAATGCAATGCGGCATGCACCTGAGGGTGACTGCAGTCTTCTTATTAATCCACGGCCACATTCCTGCACTTGAACACTGTGATAATGCATAGCTACTTCCAGTTAACATGTCCATTGATTCAGTAGAGTGAATAACTCAGTTTCTCCTGAACTGAACCAGCCCCCTTCCGCCTTTTTTCCCCCTACAGGTTTCCATCAGGCAAGCAGACCAGTGGTGGAGGGGGCAGCAGTGGCAGCAACAGCGGGCAAGGAAGCCTCTTCCAGGAGGAGGGAGAAGACGACCTCTATAACTGATTGTACGGGAAACGCCCCCTTGTGGTGGGAGTGGATGGTCCTGTGCGCTCATATTATTGTGCTCTTTAATGTAAGGACTGACTGATGCTTGAGGCCCTAAACCCTGCCCTCCTCCTTGGTTACAGATCTGCGCTACTCAACACAAGAAAACCTCATGCTTTGTTTTGGTGGGTAATGTTGGGTGCCACTTCCTTTTCTGTCTGGCTTGGCTGTGGCCAGGAATCCCTTGGTTTTTCCACTCTTTTTTTTTTTTTTTTTAAGATTAAAGCAGTACCTGTGGCAGTCAGAAGGGGGAGACAAAGCTTAAAAGCAGCTGTCATGAGAATTTAACCATTCTCCATCAGACTGGTCCATCTGTTCTAGCGTTTTGCTTTCCATAACAATCAGGAAGCTGCCCGTTGAAGCTCAGATGCGGGATTAAGGCTTCCCGTATACCAGGCCTCTGCCCACAAGTGCATCAGAATGCTTCACACCAGTGCCTGCTCTTGTATTGGCTTCCAGTTTAGAACACAAGGGAATGGAGGATGGGCGGTTTTCCAATCCTGCTTGCAAGCCAGTCCAAACTGTTCCCTTTGACCCCTCTTAGCCCACAGCAAAGCCTTTGGACTAGTAAATAAGGTGGATTTCAACAAACTCTGGTCTGTGTTATTAGGTGACAAAGACTTCCGAATGTCCAATAAACTGAAAGCGCACGCATCTTGCAATAGGAGGAATCCTATGAAGGCTGCAGAGGGCAAAGCATGCTCAGGGGAGAGAGAGATGGGCGTATCTATACAACATCCTTCCCTGGGTATAAAGACTGTCAGCCCTCTGATTCTTTCCAAACGATATGCCTGCACATTGTTGCCTGTATCTTGCTGTCTACCTGCAACTGGGAATTCTTACTCTACTCTGGGATATTTTCCATCTAATCTTGCCTCCAGATACTGCATATGTATAGCAACACTGTGTATCTTGTACTTTCTGTAGCCTGCCCGGCAGAGAATCTCCTGCCTCTGCTCCTTGTGTAGCTTTTAAAATAGTTTACAGCTACCATATTGATTCTCACAGCAATTTCTCTTTCCCAACCTCTGGCGCATTTCTAGCAGCTGCAGAGATTCAGACAACCACTAAATGGCAGTCAAGTAATACAGAATCCCTCATTTTTGCTGCCACCAGTTGTCGGTAGTTAAACAGTCAACTCATAGTTTCAAGGATTTGTTTAAAAAAATTCAATCAGTAGCCAGTACAACAAACAGAAAAGCAAAAATAGCGCACGGATTAACCAAAGTGTTGTGTGTAGCAATGGAATTTCAGCCAAGGCACCACCAAACATGGTCTTTAGAACGTTGCACACAAATAAATAATTTATTAAAAGGTCAATGGACAGCAGAGACCCATTTCAGCTGCAGCTGTGTCATCTTGTGAGCACAGCCCACTTGATAGTACAGGAACATAGCAAAACAGTTGTGTGTTTACAAACCTACTGAAGGATAAGGTTGGTGGGGCAATACCTGGTGTGTAGATTGGGGCAGAAAACTTGAACTTGGAGCAACAGATCTCCCAACTTCTTTTTTTTCCCAACTAATTCCCAACAACGGTGATAATTTCCCTTCTGCTGTTTGATCCCACTTGTTTGCCAGCTTTCACAACCAGGATTCTGGAAGCTCGCTTTTACATGATCCAGCTGCCAGATGACAATAAGCAGCCACTGAATGATAAACAAAACACACGGAACAATAAATGGGACCCCCAGGCTGACTAGATGAGTTGGGCTGGCACAGGCTGCTGACAGCAAACATGTGCGAAGCAGGTCAGGGACATGGAAGAGTACAAAGCATGAAGGGTCAGAATCCCCCACCGAAGCGCTTTCTCGTGGAGTGCCTGGTGCTGGTTAAGGGTTCCCACAGGGTACGGCTATGCCACAGCCAGCCCCTACAGATCCATCATTTCAGGGCTTTCCCATTGTCCGTGCTCTGTTCTTCACAGCTTTCCAGAGTTTGGAGTAGAGCAGCAGACGGAGGCATCCCCGTGCAGTCTGTGGGTCAGCCCCACCAGTTCCCCAAGGATGTTATTTTGCAGGATCATTGGCAACAATTTGTTGGAATCCATTCTAGGACAGAACTCCTGCAGATCTCTTCTACGAATAAATAATGCTGTGGGTCTACTTACTCTTCTGAAAGGCTCTTCCTTAAATTTTTTGAGTTTGGGAGGCCCCATGAGATCACATTTTCAACTTTTTTTTTTTTTTAATCTCTCCACGGATGCCCATGAAAGGGTTCTCTAGAATTTCTACATTCATGTTTAAATTAAAGGCCATCCTGAACTGTTAAGTCCATGCCTTTGTTTTCCCCACTGCAACTGCTGCACGCTCCATATGTGATGGTGAGTCGAAGTGATACTTTGCATCAGATTCGTTGCGTAGAAGTGCAGAAAATTTTAGACCCATTAAATTCCTTTACACACTGCAGTAATACAGTTGCCTCAACATTGTGGAAAATCTGCATCATAGGCTCCCAAGTATCCAGGTCGTTTCTGGCAGCACGTTAAATAGCCTGCCTTGACAGGGTTGGACTTGAATGGCTACTCTCTGGCTAGGAAAGTGCAGCAGGATGATGATCTATCTGAACTGAGTATCCAAGGAAGGAGGCTACCTGGGATGTCTTCTCACCCGAGGATCCACAAGAGCAAGAGTCACACTCTTGAGAAGTTGCTCTTGCACTATGCAAGAAAAGTCACAGATAGCATTATTCAGCTTTGGAAGAGAGCATGAATAATTTGCCAGGCTGTTCATCATGCACAGTGCAGTCTGTATCAGGAAGGATACATGGCTTTCAAAATGCATTAAATCATTTTCCTATCAAAACATACTGGCCTGCTTTCTGGTCAAGAGCTGTTCTTTTGATATGAATGACTGTCTGAGAGCAGACAAAGAGTTCTCAGTTCTGCTTTATGGGAAGTATCAGGAATGTTACTAACCCCCAAAGAACTGTCATTATTATGTCTTCCGAGAAGATCGTTCATCTCTCTCTCTCCCTCCCTCTCATAAGAAAATCAGAAATGGGCAGGAGGCTGCTTTCAAAATACTGAACTTCTTATTTGCTGCCAAGATTTGAAACTGCCAATTTATCTGTGGCATTCCCTATACCAGCAGCAGCAGCCAACATTGCTAGATTCTGAATTCCAGGAAGGTTCAAAGTGCTTTCAAGTCGACCAATTCTTTTTTGCTCCACCCAATACTAGATGCGACCAGCAGCAACACTGCGCTCGGAGCTCTGGAAGGAGCTGGCCTCCCAGCGGTCAAAGTGTGTTGTTTTGAGGTCGGTGCGCCTTAGAAGTAAAGCCAGGAGCTTGCGCAGCACTGCGCGTCGCAGCAATATATACACCCACGGGTCCAGGATCTGGTTCCAGGAGGCCAGGCGCACACCAAGGAACAGTAGCTGATCATAATTCAAAGTTTTATGAGAGTTGCTTGCTGATAAGATGACAATGACCTGGGAACAGCACAGAGAAAAAGAGCAGCAATGTGACATCAGCAAATGAGAGAACAAGATATCGAGACAGTAGGTTTCTATGATCCACTCCTCCCCAGTGACCCTAAGAACTTAGAAACAGGTATTAACTCTGTGTACACATTAGCTCGGCCCACATAATAAATGTACCATTCATAACCCAGCCTTTTATTAGTGTGCTGATAAGAGCTTCCCAGAGTCAATTGAGTGATTGCTTGGTTCATTTGGACTATTATACCTAACCATAATGTCAATTTGGTTCAAACTTTTAACCTCAAGAAGTTTTCCAGTTAACAATTATTTTCCCTCTAGTCAAATAGTTTCTTACATAATCAAAAGTACTGTGTTTCGTATGAACGTATTTCCAAGAATCTCCCTAATACACAAAGGCCTCTTTTTATTTATTTATTCAATTTTTATTTATTCAATTTATATCCCGCCCTTCTCCAAGTGGACTCAGGGCGGTGCACAGCCAGAACTAAAACACATATCAATACAAAATTTAAAATTATTAAAAGAATTAAATAACTGTGGCCCAAAAATTTAAAACATTGAAAACTAAAACCCATTTGACAATTTAAAAAGCTAAAAAGACTAAAAAAGGGGGGAGGGGTTTCACGCCAGCCCTGCTTGATGGAAAAGAAAAGTTTTTAGGGCACGGAGATCCGATATCCTTCATATCTCCGGGGGCAAATCGTTCCAGAGGGCAGGAGCTGCCACAGAGAAGGCCCTCCCCCTGGGGGTCGCCAGCTGACATTGCCTGGCTGATGGCACCCTGAGGTATCCCTCTCTGTGGGAGCGTACTGGTCAGTGGGAGGCTATTGGCGGCAGAAGGCAGTCCCACAAATACCCAGGTCCCATGCCATGGAGCGCTTTAAAGGTGGTGACCAACACCTTGAAGTGCACCCGGAAGACCACTGGAAGCAATGCAGCTCATGCAGGAGAGGTGTCACATGGGAGCACCCCCTCGCTCCCATAATCCCCCGCGCGGCCACATTCTGCACCAGTTGGAGCCTCCGGGTGCTCCTCAAGGGGAGCCCCATGTAGAGAGCATTGCATTAGTCCAGGTGGGAAGTGACAAGTGCCTGAGTGACTGTGCATAGGGAGTCCCGATCCAGAAAGGGACGCAACTGGCGAATCAGGCGGACCTGATAAAAAGCCCTCCTGGCCACGGCCGTCATACGCTTTTCTAAAGACAGCCGTTCATCCAGGAGGACACCCAAGTTGCGATTCTAAGTTTACTCAATCTGGTGCTCTCCGTATATTTTAATGTAATTTTTAGCTGCCATGGTAATAGAACCACCATAGCCCTTTAAAATAGACCAGACCAGGAAACAAAAATCATGTAGATGAGTACCACATTAATTGTACAGTTTTAACAACAAAGTTTTCCAAGTCTGAACATAGTTCCCCTCTCACTCCAACTTTATTGTGAACTAGGGAGGGGCTGGTTTGATACATGCCAACTTCTCACTTATTTTGGTTCTCAAAATATATGCTAACCACCCTAAGTGTCCCCATTGCCCCTTTTTCTTTTTTTTTATACTCACCAATAATGGACTCCAACAAATACAGGAAACCACCATGATGCCCACGAGTTGTACAACCATTTCAATGTCATGAGCTTTGGCTCTCCGCCGACCGCATTTGCGCTGACCACGGAGACGGGCTCGCACCAGAATGAGTCCACTGAATGTGTTGCAGATGAGAGAGGCCACCAGAGAGGCCAATCCCAAAAGGGAGAAGAGCAGGGCAAAAGCTATCTCGGACCATTCTTCTGCCTCTTTCACCTTGATAAAACACCAAGTGTTTTGGGCCTGTACAACGTATTTCCCAAAGCTGCAGAGAGGCAACAGGGCAATGGCAAGAGCAATGGTCCACAGTCCTACCAAGGAAAGCTTCGTTCGGCCTGGCGTGACCATTGCAGCGTGAAGCAGAGGACGAGTGATGCCAATGCAGCGCTCCACTGCCATCATGAAGCCCAGAAAGAGAGGGCACAGTCCAAAGAATACCATGGAAGCGCCAAAGAACTGGCAGAGCGCTTTAGAAGGATCCATGGCTGTCCAGTTACGCTGTGTGGCATACAGTTGCAACACAAAGGAGCCTGGGATGACATGGCCTGCTAGGTCTGTGATAACCAAGCTGCTGGCAAAAAGCAGGAATGTGGCCTTGGAACGACGCCTGAAGCGGGTGTACGACTGCACT